GTTGATTAAAACTAATCTGTCAAAAATGTACCAACGTCTCCAAATATGTGCAGTAATTCCTAAGATTTGCTGCAGGAAACGGTTGAGTGAAGTTTGAATTATTTAGATTGTTACTAGGGATGTCCCGATCACCTTTTTTTGCTCCCGATCCGATTCCGATCATTTGATTTTGACAATCTGCCTATATCGATTTTTCCCTATCCGATCTTTATGCAATGCATTACGAAAAAAAAAAAGGTAACAGATAAACGGCTGTTCATCCAACGCGATGAATTCAGCTATCTTGGCTGTTAAATTTTTTGGCCTTTTCACTGTTCTGGGGCAGTTTCTCTTTCCTTTTAAATGTCTCTGAAAGTGTCGGTTGTTTCAGTGCCGTTACCTGAGTGGCCGCTGTGTACTCGTCGTGTTGTTGTTTGTGTTAGTTTCTCAGGTGGCGTATTAGATTGGTCTAGTTGAACGTAGCCCTGTTCTTTCCACCACGCGGAACCTCCGCCTTGCAAACATTGCATCTGGCTGTTACACTGCCTTCACTTTCAATTTTATAATACTTCATACCTCCTGACATTTTCTCTGCCCCGACTCCCGAGTCACCAGCTGAACGTAGCCTCTCGTTAGCTTACTGCTACTGTTAGACACTGCGCCATGCCCACTCTGTTTCCAGATTTGAGAGAAATAAGCAACCAGGTCTATGAAAACAAGCCCAAAAGAATCAACACATACATGATGTTGTGTCATTTTAAACCAAAACTAAGGCCTCAGGATGACTTTAAGACGTGAACTGGGTCATTTTTGTTTTGTAACATTAAATTAAAAAATTTAAAAATCCTGATCCCCGATTTTTTTCTCCCGATTCCGATCTTTTGAAAATCACATGATCGGCTCCGATCCCCGATCACGTGATCGGATCGGGACATCTCTAATTGTTACATGTATTTGCCAGTTGTGGATGTATGAGTCAGAAAAGCTGTTGGCTGGTGGATACATTCTGAATGTTGGCTCTTTTTAAAGGTTTTATTGTCTGTCTCAAGAGTCTTGAGTTAGCTTCTTCAGCTCTAAGCACCAAGGTCTTCTGGTGTAGCCTATTTGCTTTTCTTTCTAATTTAGTCTCAAAAAGAGCAACTATATCGAATGCTTTGAGAGTTTAAAGAGTCTTATTGAACTTAACGGATAAAGAGGATTGGCTTTTCTTTACTTGAGCAGCACTGTGAGGGAGAGTATGGTCGGTGGAAGTGGGATTTATTCTTCACATTTCCCTGTACGGAGCCTTTCAGTGGCGACTTTCCATCGTCTTATGACAGGAACCACAATTTGTAACCTTTCCCGCTCTCCATTACCGAGGGCAGCGGTTCAGTAAATACTATACATTTTACATATTTCAGAGCTATTTCTATTTTGTTCAAGCTTTCAAAAGTGATTTTTTTCTTTGCTTGACTGACATTTCCCTGCTAGAAAGTGACTGAAGCGTTGTGATGCACAATTTGGGTTATGATGTGTCCAAACAATGCAGGTTGTTTCACTTTGTAGTTGATATTCAGTTAGAGTTCAAATACATAAACGCACAAAAAAGACTTGTAGACATTAGTCCCGAACTACAAACGTGCATAAACAAATGCACTAATGGAGAGGTATCGGAGAAAAGGGGCTGCAATGTGTCTCTTCCCGAGATCAGTTCCCTTCTTCAACTAAAGCAAGCAATACTTTATTTTTTGGGGGTCTGGAACTTGAATCAGTTACCGTCCTCTGACCATCTCCCAAAACAACCCCTACAAACTGAGCTACTGCCTGCCCCCTCAACTTGTGCTCTCGTTAAATTAGAATAAGCTCTTCATATCTTTTATGAGACATCCTTTTGCATGGAGTCAGCCATGTTGCACTGCCATGATTTAACAGTAGCTCAGACCTCATGTATTTTTGTAACTTTTTGACCACCATACTTCTTGTTGTCCTGCTTTTAAAACTATTGTAACGCAAAGCACCGCCTGTATTTGGTTCCTTCCTAAGTATTGGTGTGTTGGATATCTAAAATGTGCTTATTTACAAAGTTAATCTAAAGCATATGGGAATTAGTTTTACGGGTATCTGGTAACAAACCATCCCATCAATTAGCATGACATGCTTCAAGATTAAGGGGTCACCAACATGGTACAGGTTATCATGTGGAGAACTTGAATGTCTCTACCAAATATGGCAGTGCATCCAATAATTGTCGAGATGTTTTAGCCTGGACTGGACTTTGGGACTGCTAGATCGACCAACTGACTGATAATAAATTAGCCATATAATACCAGTGCTCTTTAAGATATAATTTGTTGGCAAAAAAAATGTCCATTAAAATAAATCTTGACATTGGAATCATTCTCAATCCTTACTTTCTTTATGTTTATGTAACAATCATTCCTGTTGAGAACAAGTTCACACTGTAGATTCTGTGTATGTTTTGTTGCTTTGTTTTCTCTCGCACATTTTACTCAGAATCTGCACATCATCTCCACTGTACTCCCTGAGCTCTGTTGACAGGTGCATGCTCGTCATCACTCTGAAGGCTCTTTATCTGCTTGGTCCGTTCCACCCTTTAACATTAGTCAGCAGCTTTGACAGAAACCACCTTGTGCTCAAATGGCTCAGAGTTCACCCCCTCCTGCATGTCCTAAAATATGTTTGTTTTTTTAAGCATAAGGCTAGGCATTGCCTTTGGGAATTATACAGCCAAGTGTTTTGGTTTTTTATTTTGTGACTGCTTTGATGCAAGCATTTACTTTCTCCAATCCAACTATTATGACATCTCTCTTGAACCACAGCCTTAAGAGGGATGCAATTCATTTTGAACATTTCTATAACAAAGGAAGGATTATTTTACTAGTTCAAGGTGTCCCATGAAATGTTTACATTAGGTTCAATTTGCTATATAAAAAGGTGACCATACATTAAATGAATACATTTCCATTTTAAGTTGTAGTTTCCTTGAAATATTTCAATGCCGTTAACAACCTTAACTATTTGTGTCGATTGGTCCAAGGTTGGGGGGGTGGGGTTTATCGGTTATGCCAGTTTATGGTAATCATTTTATGGGCCATTATACGAGGTCTTTTCCCAGTCACCTTGAAGGTATCCCTGAAATCAGCCTTTGTGGTTCATTCAATCGAGAGATATCAAAACAAAATCCTCAATAGTTCATTTCATCTGTCACTACTGCCTTTAAATCAGCCTTAAATTAAAATGTCTATCCATAAATAGCGTTTAAAAAGCCCACAGTGATCTAGCCAAAGTATATTTGTTTTGGCGCTGCTGGTGTGAAGCTGCAGCACAGTGTTTGTCTTTGTGGTTGATTACATTACAGTGCATGTTATTTAGCTGACTTCTATCCAAAGCACCTTGCATACTATAATTTTGACATGCCTACAAGAAGAATCTGGGGTTCACTAGATGATTAACATCTTGCTGATGTATTGGTACTGTTGTCTAGGTTGGTTGAAAGTAAAATGTTCATGTTTTGGTGGACTTTCAGATCACCATATTTGTTTAAAACTATATACAGTATAAGATGCTTCGTGCATATATTGGTCACAATTCTTTAAATAACAAAACGTAAGAGGGTTTTTTTCAATATTCCCTTCTATGTGTCACTACTGCCTTTTTTTAATCAGCCCTACATGATCAATCAATAAATACCTCTAAAAAGCTGAGCTTCCCTGGGAGATGGAGGGGTCATTAGGAAGGTGGGTGGGGTGCTATCACTTAATCTCCCCAACACCAATCCTCTTCCTGACCCCTCTCTGAGGAAAGGTGAAGGGTAGGAAAGATTGCAACATGGGTGCAGGGAGAAAAAGTGGGAGCACATGAAGGTAAAATATGTGATGGAGGGGGAAGAAAGTGGGTGAGGAAAAAGTGATGGATACTTCCTGTAGCATGGACGCACTTTAAAATGCGTCCCCTTAAGAGTGTACATTATGTATTATCAGCAGCACTCTGCAGAGAGAAACCTGAGCAGAGAGGGGAGGAGGGGGGAGATCTAGGGGGAGGAGCGGAGGTCCGGAGAGACAGGGAGCAAAAAGTATGCAGGTCTGTAACAATACATAATGTAATAACTAGACAAAATGAAATACAAATGATGTAATAAACCCATAGCCTGAATGCCATATTTAATTCATCTCCCTGCATTTTGAAATTAATTATGCTAATGGCAGTGTTTAGAACAAAATGCAAGAGTTTATTATGTAATATAAACCGTATGTTTTAATAAACAGCCTGAAAGAAATATGACATACTGTACATTTCCTTGCATTATTAAATCAATTATTACATATTGCATTGGAACATTTTATGGAAAATGTAATAATACATGCATAGTGTTTTATATTTACACATGAGCAATAATAATCTATAATGTAATAGTATAACAGCCACCGGGTCATTGCATTTGCATTGAGACAATTGAGCTTATCCAATACATTTTCCTGATTGCACGTTTACTTGTTAACTTAATACAAGTCTATCACTCGTACCAGAGTATTATACAGTGTGGTACGAGGACTTTGTCCACTACAGCAATACACTTGAGGCTGTGTTTCTTATATTTGGTACAGACTGTATCATGTAAAGTGGCTTTTAGTGTCTCGTAAACTTCAAAACTTCTAAGTCCTGCTGCTGTTCATGTTACAATCAGAGATATTTGCAACCTTTACTTGTATCTGATATGTGTTTAGTGTCTTTCTAAGCATTAAGAATCTACTCTGCGTGCGCTTTTGGTGATTTGACCAGCAGTCCGCTCTCTCAGACAGTCTCCATCTATCACTGAGGCCTAATTGAATCTGGACCTAGTCTCAATCAGGAGCTGGGCTGGCCTCCAGCGGCTCCACCACACCGACACACACTAAGGCAGGGGGAAGGCTAAGAGAAAGAAAAGGGGAAGAGAGACATGACATAAAAGCAGATGCAACAGTTGATGTGTGTGTGATGGAGGAGACGCAGGCCATGTGTGTGACTGTGTGTTTGTGTTGCAGCTCTGCCTCGGAGGACTTGGGCTGCAGGCGTGGAGACTTCAGCAGGAAACACTATGGGTCTGTGGAGCTGGTGAGTCCCTCCCACAATGCACTCTGTCTCTGTTTGTCTGTGTGTCTCCTGACCATCTTCATCCTTGATTCTTCCTCCTCTCCCTGACTGCTTTTGCCTTTCTGCTGGACACCAGAGGACTGATGAGTCAGACGTACTGGGTGTGGTCCGGCTTTGTCACAATGTCTGTTCCTCTCACACTGATGCAACCTCTGCGGTGTATTTGTTTTGGCGCTGCTGGTGTGAAGCTGCAGCACAGTGTGTGTCTTTGTGGTAGATTACATTACATTGCATGTTATTTAGCCGACTTTAATCCTTGCATACTATACTGTAGACATGCTTACTGGAAGAATCTGGGGTTCAATAAATGGTGAGCCTCTTGCTGATGTCTTGGTATTGTTGTATAGGTTAGAGGGAAGGAAAAAGTAAATGTTTAAAGTACTTTTGAAACAAAATATTAGTTTTTAACTATAAAATGCTCCATAAATGTATTAGTCACAATTATTTTAATATCAAATGTGAAGGATATTTAAAAAAATGTTGTTGTTAAAATATTGGCGATATTGGTTCCTGCCCAAAATTGAGTATGGGTTGGACTTTATGATACATACAATTTCTTTAAGACTCCAAATCTACTAGAGCCCTTAAAAGTTGTTTACTATTAATGATGGATTCATAAGGTGTTTTTAAGATAATTTAACCTGATATACTTTTCTTCTTTAAGAGAATCTTACAAAATACTATCTTTCCCAGTCAAGCAATTTGGTCATTGCTTATCTTCTTTGTTAAACATTGTCTTTATTGATGTTGTAAATAAGAACAAAAGAAGAAAAAGGGGCAGGTGATTGCGACAAACAGGAAAGGAACAGATAACAGCCATTGGGTGTACATTGAGTCATGAAAGTTGGATATAAAGAAACAAAAATTACAAAAATTACAAAAATGAAACGTAAAATGAGACAGCCCTCTGACTCACATGTGAACTCTCCAGATTTCCAGGTTTCCCCTTCAGGTCACACGTGATCTTTTCTTTCGGTACACACAATGCTAATTCATTAGTCCATCTAGCCAATGTAGGTGTTTTTATCTTCTTTCCATATTGCAGCTAGTAACTGAGGGTCATTTAGATTACTTTATAAACTGCATGGTAATGTTTTGTTTTAACAATCTGAAGCCGCAAAGTTACTATAGTACAGATATAAAATAAATGAAGTAAGGAATAAAGAAGAATAACCTTGAAATATTGAAGTACCTCAAGTAACATTACTAAGCAGTTGAGTCATTGTAGCTTTAGGGAAGTGTGTGTGTGTGTGTGTGTGTGTGTGTGTGTGTGTGTGTGTGTGTGTGTGTGTGTGTGTGTGTGTGTGGGGGGGGTGTACTTACTGAGTGTGTGCATCCAGATAGCCCGGAGGGACAGGAAGTCGTAGGGTTTCTCTCTGCAATCGTACTTCCTACTGGAGACATGTTGTGGCTCTGTCTCCACGTGTGCGATAGATTAGTGCTGAGGAGAAACCGCATGCTGTCAATCAGCTGACACCTCTCTCTCTCTCTCTCTGTGTGTGTGTGTGTGTGTGTGTGTGTGTGTGTGTGTGTGTGTGTGTGTGTGTGTGTGTGTGTGTGTGTGTGTGTGTGTGTGTGTGTGTGTGGTATAGTATAGTATAGTGGCTTTGTCAAATTACAAAGTCACTATATGTGTCAGTTTGGCATGGAAATATGTTTAGGTCAATCTTGAATCAAATAATTTATTGGGGGAAGTTACCTTTTCATATTCTTCCTAATTAAAAGTGCTCAGGATATATTGCCTATTCAGAGCTAACATCATTTTCATTGAAATTCACAAGAATAACTCACATTTAAGTTCCATTATACCAAAAGAAAAAAGGCTGCACTGTATGATTGATAGAAGTGGATTATGGGAAATGAATGGCAGAGCTTGATAAACCCAGGTTGATCTTCAGAAATAACCTCAGGGAGGATAAGCTCATGATGCCCAGATTATTTTCTGCAATTATCTTTGTTTCTCTGCTCTGAAGTGAAATCTGTTTTCTGTTGGAAAGAAAAATATAATTGCTTTTGTAAAAAACAAAAGAAACAACAAAGTGTTTTTGTCGACTTTGTAACCCGCGCTGTTTGAGGATGTGGGTCTCCAGAGGAGATTTGTGCAAAGTTAAGGGAAGAGTTGGTTAAATTCAACAACAGATCCTTGTGTTGACAGTTTTAAATCTGTGTGGAGAGTCTGCATTTCTGTTTTTCCAATGTGAAAGAGGCAAGAACATTTTATACAATTAGGAAAAGTATGATACGTATACCCTCTCTTGAATATCTAATCTATCTAAGATGTTCGAACTGCTAACAGTTAGAGCTCCTAAAGTATTTAATTATACAAATGGATTCAGTTGTTTTTATTGTTTGTTCCAATCTGATTTCACTTTTTTTTTTGAGGACATTTTACAAAATACTCAACTTTTCCAACTAAATATTTTTCCTACCCACAACAAGAATTAAATGACAGTTTGATAATATTTTTCTTTAAAGCATTTGGTTAACATTGGAAAGCCTTCTCTATGCTGCCATGAGGTAATTCTGGAGAAATACTAAATCATTTAATAATAATATGTATTTCAATAATAATTTGCTTAGAATTTGGCAAAAATATTTAGTTTAGAAAAACTATTTCTGGCTTCCAAATCAACCATTTTAAATTAATGCATCCAGAAAAAAATATAAGGGGGAACATTTTATTTTTAAATATTATATGTTGATGCTAAATCCTAATGTTTTTTTCCCGGCGTCACCTGATTCCATGTGATTTGTCCAAAATAATGAAAATTGTCGTTACATTTAATCACAATGTTATCTCCACTTTTTAGAACTCTTTTTTTTTTAAAGTGAACGAGAAAACCTGTTTTCAAATGTCTCCTCACAAGTGGGGGCCACAGATTCAGAGCAGGGTCTCCCTAATAAGACAGAGCCGAGCCGTGACTCACCATCACTGTTTTATTTCTGGCTTCTTGTATCAGCCGGTAGCAGTGACTAATAACAGGAGGAACCTCCACAGACACCGAGGGGGTTGGAGGTATGATTCACTCTCGTCCACAAACACACACACACCTTTAGACATTAAAGAAGTGTAAAGGATCCGGTATGGCGTACAAACTCTTTTGTAAGTGGATTTGATCAGGAATCAGGGACAGTTTTGAAATAGAAATGAGACATTAGAATGCTTTTTTCAGAATCTATCTTTGTGTGTATGCGATCTGAGCAGTAATTTTTCAAATGTTTGCAGTAATCTATGAAATAATTGTGATATATTTTAGTTGAGACTGACTTACGCATTGCTTAAAAACATCCTCAGCCAGAGACACTGACATAAGACTTCACCTCCATTCACTCTGAACACAGTGTAAAATATTCATGTTGTCACCGCCTCACTGCACAGGAACATCTTGAATCATATGCTTTTCTAGGCTAAGTTGTCCTGAATAAAGGCGAGTGTGTTGAGAATCAGTGTTGGGTTTATCAGCTCTTAAACTTTCTTCAAACCCTGCACACAAATGATGGTATGTGCTTTTATTTAAAGGGACAAACAAAGCCATCTCCCACTCTGCCTGTCACTTTTATTCAGTGACAACTCCACGGTTCACTTTTAAAAGCTTAATTGTGTGGGTAAAAGCTGCACGCAACAACAATTAAACCTGTGTCATTCTGACTAAACAGCTCGGAGAATGTGGTGTTGTTTTTATTTATTTCTTTACAGATAATTGAATTGTCTTCATCCGAGTCCCACAGATAAAGGCGGTGACAGATATAGGAGAGAGGTGGGCGCTGTGTCTCTGAGTGTCATGAATCTTCACGGGAAAGCTCAAATAAATGTTGGAGAATTGAATCCTTCACACACATTCATGAAACAAGGCCAGAGTATGCACCTCGTAATGCTCCTTCACTTAAAACAATAAGCGTATATCCAAAATGTGTACATCAGATCAGGGGCGGACTGGCCATTGGGAATACCGGGAGTTTCCCCGGTGGGCCGGTGCTGTGTGTGGGCCGGAGGGCCAAAAAAAAAAAAAATCTTTTTTTGTTTGCCTAAATCCTACCGGCCCACATTTGTAAGTGTTCCGGCCACTCCCTTTTTTTTTTTTTGCTTACCTAAATCCTACCGGCCCACATTTGTAAGTGTTCCGGCCCACTGGGGTGTGGCCCACTGGGCTGGGCTGGGCCGTTTTGATAGGCTACACTGTAAAAACTGTTGCTTTGGTAAAACTTAAAAAATATGTGTCAAGTGATTCCAAGCAATTTTATGAGTTTAGTCAACATTTGCATTGAGTTGGTGAAACTTACTTTTTTTTGTTTTCCTCTACTAAAGAATGTGTTACTTTGCTAAAACTTAAAAAATATGTGTCAAGTGATTCCAAGCAATGTTGAAAGAAAAAGTAAATCTGTTTACAGTTCTGTTTTATATGGGTGTTGAAGAAGAAGAAGAATAATTGGGAGGGATGAAACCCACTTTCATGGTCACACATGCAGAGCACACAGCCGACACAGTGAAATGTGTTCTCTGCTTTTAACCCATCGTAGTACCAGGAGTCTACTAGGAGCAGTGGGCAGCTATTGTACAGCGCCCGGGGAGAAATGGGAGTGAGGGGGGAAGGGGGATGTCCGGTGCCTTGCTCAAGGGCACCACGGCAGGGCAGGAGGTGAACTGGGACCTCTCCAAGTAGAAGTCCACACTCCGCATGTAGGTCTGGTCGGGGACTTGAACCGGCGACCCTAAGGCTCACAGTCCAAGCCCCTACTGACTGCCATAGATTTAGTCCCTAATTTAGCTCTCAAAGTGCACCAGATTGATGCATTTAACTTCAACATTTAAAAAAAAATCTTCCCTGGGGAGCTTGCCCCCGGACCCCCCTAGAGGAGGTGAGGTCGACCACCTGCCCACACCCCCTGTTAAATTGTCTCACCCACATTGAGGATGCTTCCTACGCCCATGTTTTATTCCATGTGTCAAGTCAGGCAAATTG